TTTACTGCCCTTCCCCCTAAAACCCCTTTTATTGTATAAAGTTCCTCCAGTCACGGAGCAGATGTTACTGGTGTTGCCTTTAATTTAAGGCCTGAGAAACAGGCCCTGCGTCTGCTCTGCCGGGAAACTCCCCTGCACTTTGGGCTTCGGGATAGGTGTTCCTAACAGTGGGTGGCAAACGGAAATGATTCACTTCCATCTTGGGAGACAAGGAATTTTGGAGAAGGTTAAAGCATCCTCTGAATTTAGCGACTAAAAACCTTGACAATCTCTCTTTAACTGATCATCCTCTGACAGCAGAAAACGGAACACATTTTAACTGACAGCCAAAGGAAGATTCCCAGGAAGACACACTGCTGTGCTTTTGTACCCTATGATCCCAGCCTGCCAGCTTTGTGATTTTACCTTTAACTGCAGCTCAAAGAACCAGATAGAAGCAGTAACACATTATAATACATTACTATTTAAAGATCACAAAAGAAATGCTGAAAACTGGTTTAGGAAAGCAGTTTTCCATGTGAGGGTATTAACGATTAATTCGCCTGAAGCTTCAGTCACTAATAGATAAAATGTCAGAGATGGTGATAGTTGCTTAATTGCTAGTGCAATTCACAGTGCCTAAGAATTGACAAGGTGGTTTGTTGTAGCCCGTTATCAAAGTGTCAACAATGATTATTGCCAATATAAGTTATACAAATGCCAATTGCACGGCAGCTGTTTTCTTTCAAATGGGTTCCAGGGAGAAGGCTACATGTTAAAAGGAAATCGTCTTATTGTGGCCCTAGGACTCCATTACACAGGCTTTACTTTACCTAATAAAATCCGACATGAGTTTTGAAAAGACCTGTGCAGAACGATGAACAAAACGCATATTTGTGTAAATCCCCAGGTCTCTCTCTCTCTCTCTCTGTCTCTCTCTCTCTCCCTTGGCCTTTTAAAAGAGTCAGGTCAAATCCCCTAGAGATCAAGTGAGTCCAGTTATGTTTCCTTTTACTTGCTCCGATTCCCTGCTGAGGAGCTTGCTTGCTGGCAGCATGCTAAGACTGTCATTTGTAAAAAGCAGTCCGCTCAGCTATAATTACTAATTTGATGTCACATTGGAATTGCAGTGCAGCTGTGAGAAGATCGACCACCAGGGAAATTCAGATTTCTGTCTCATTTAGAGCAGGCTAAACTACTGAAGCCATGAATGGAAGATGGCCTTCCATTAAAAAGGAAAGAATTAAAGAATAAAACAAGTCATAACAGCTGTCAGAATTTGACAACGGTTTAAAAAAAATAAAAGCACTGTTCTGCTCTTTTTTAAAAAATTCAAGACATCTGTACATGGTGCTCTGATACTTGTTGCAATGAAAGTGATCCCATTATTGTCGGAATAGAACTTCTTTATTTCCTTCTGTTCCATCTTCATTATTATGCTAATGCAAATCACACTAATTATGTGTCAAGCTGAAATCCAAGGGATGGGACTTGTCTGCACCTATATCACCAAATACTTGAAATGACAGTTTTAAACCTTTTCATCAATAAGTTAAAAGTATGGCAAATCACAACAGTTATAATGACTCAAATGAAAGAAGAACTAAGAATTCAGATTACTAATTAAGTCTTGTGGATGGAGCGTCTCTATGAAAATTGTTCTTTGTAACCAGGACAATCATTTTGTAGAGAATAGGGTTGCACAATGAAAATGATAGAGATAATATTCTTGCAAATCATTTGGTTTTATTTCATAAAAGGCTAACATGTAGACAAATAATTTTAGCCTTCTCCAAATATTTCTAACTAGAGGTAACAGTGATTGTTTTGATAACATTTAAAGTTTTATTTGTGAAGACAAAAAATAGCATGATATTTGGAAGAGTCAAAAATATTAACTGATCATGGGGGGACAACCTGAAAATTGGTAGAAACAAGAAAACAAGAAATTTTTTTAGAACTTAAAAACCCAATGTTTTAATGAGTTCAGCTCCATTAATACATTTCACTTATTTTTGTGTACTATAGCTTAGTACGTGTTACTTCATTGTGGCTGGATTCTAAACAAACCGCCATATCTGAGAGATCATGTCCCGTTGTAGACTCACTCCACCCTCATCAATTACCGATTTTAATTACTTTTACATTCCATATCATCCTGCGATTTTCTTTCGCCCCTTCCCACTGAGCGCTTATCTAGAAGGCGGTTGGCCTTTTGGAGCATCTCCTTCTGGAAGATCAGCGATCATTAACTCCAACCCCAGAAAGCAGAGCGCACTGAACTCTTCCCCAAGGCAATTGTGTAGACGATTTTACTGTGCACACGGTCAGTGCAAGATACAGCGACATGGGCTGTATTCCAAAAATGCCCAACTCCTCAAACAGAGGAAGTATGAATCGGCTGTTTTGCCAACAGAATAGGGAACTAAACAATTCATTTCACTACTTTTTCATTTTAAAATGAAGACTTGGAATGAATTGCTTTAGTTCCATATTTAACTCTAAAACAATGTTTTTGTCAATGTAGTGAGTGTTGCTTTGTTCATCTTTATGATTCATACGTATTTCTGATAATATGTCCTTTCAAAAAAAGGAGAGAAAGAAGCCCCAGACATTTAAAATAGCACATTTAATATGGTGGCTGGAAAGGTGAACCCTAGCCTGGAACACCGGCTCAGTCACATCATAACTTTGGGACCCTGACAAGTTTCTGAACCTGTCTGGTAAGAAACTTCACTTACTCAGAGGAAATAATAATAGCACCAACCTCATAAGTTGGTTGTAAGGATTACATGACCAAATTCATGTACAATTTCAAACAGTGTCTGGCATATAGTGTGCACTCAACAAATGTCAGCTATTATTTATTTCTTTCGCACCTGGAAAAAATGTATAGCAATAATGAAGTCGACAGTCCACTGTTTCTACTTGTTTGGCCAATGCTGGTGATTTCAGGGTGATTTACATGGAGGTTGGAAGTGTAAAAATATAGTCACTAGTGTACAGTAGAAACACAAATGGTCAAGAAGGATCCACCATTTCATTTTCTCTTCCCACTTCTTAATCCTCTGCTATCCGGCTTCTGCTCCACCCACCCATTATCACTGACAAAGGTCCCCAGTGACTTCCCTGTCGATAAGTCCAATGAATAATATTCAGTTCTCATGCTACCTGACTTTGCAGAAGCATCTGATAGTGGGAAAGTTCTCTTCTTCCGGTTTTGGGACACTAGTAGACCTTCATGAGAGTAAGCTTCATGAGAGTAGGGACTTTACTCACTTAGGCGCTTCTCATAATACATGGCAAAATGCTTGTTCATAACAGATGCTCAATAAGCGTTTGGACAAGTGATCCAGACTTTCCTAGCTCCCCTCCTGTGTCTTTGACTGATGTTTTGCAAGACTCTTCCTTTACCCATCATCCTTAGATGATGAAGTTCTGGGCTGACTTCAGACATACTTCTCCTGCTCCATACACTCATCCTGGGTGACCTCATCTGCTTCCCTGTCTTTGCTGATCATCTTTCCCATGAGGTTTCCCAGCCCCTTTTTCCAGCTGAAACCCTCTCCGCAGCCACTCATGCCTATTGGTTTCTCTGTTCTGATGCCCCACTGACATGTGAAATGTCTCCTCCCACCCTGCTCCCTCTCTCAGCAAGAGGAACCAACACATACCCAGCTGTGTAAATCAGAAACTTGGGGGTCATCCTTAACCCCACCCTCCCTCGACCCATGCTCCCTGGCACCGTTCACCTCCCAAATTCAATCTCTGAGTTCTGTGGATTCTTCTTCCTAAATCTCTCTGTAATCTATCCTCTTCTACTGTCCCAGCTCAGGCCACCATCTCATCTGGGTGATTTCCACAGGGTCTCCAACTGGTCCTACTTACTGGCCCCATCTCACCTTCCAGCTAGAGCACCAAGCACTTCCCCTCTGTGCTCACGCACATGCTGCTCTTTCTCGCCTTTTCCACTGGCTAATCCCTACTTATCCTTCAGGCTTCCAAACATTACCTCCTCCGGGAAGCTTTTCCCTGGACCCAACAAGCCAGAGTCGGGTACTCTTCAAAGTGTCACATGGCACTGTCATTTCTAATTAATGTCTGTATCTCCTGCTAGATGTGTCTGTGTGGTTCATTATTTTAGTCCCAGGAGCTAGGATAGTAACCATAAAGACATTCATAAACACTTCTGAATTAATAAGTAGATTTCCAAATCCGTAAAATTTAAACTAAAACTGAATATCATTCTAAAAGAATTCAGTTTCAAAAACAAAAACCTTGAGCCCAGCTTTTCAATAGTTTGGTAAAAATAAAGACAGTTCCAAGGTCATAAGGAGGAATAATAACTGAGAATATAGAGGAGCCTTTCACATAAGTCAATGTCAATTTCGGTCAGTCTCCGTTTACATACAGAAAGCTACTTCCCAGATTCTTTAGCAAACTGATTCAAGTAGAAACTGTCTATAATCTTGCATAATATACTAAATGTAGTTCAAATATTACCTACTGTCCAATGACTCAGGAAAAGATAAAATATCTAGTTTCCTCATCCCTAATTCTTTAAACAGAAAATACTCTAATCATATCTTAACATTTTATCCTTGGAAAGGAGTTTGAAGCTCATGCAAGCCAACATTTTACAGGTGAGAAAACTGGGGCTCAGAGAGGTCATGGCCAGGGAGTGAGTGGTCAAGTGTAGGATTAGGACCCTGTTGCTGAGCTGTACCTGCCCGTCTTGGTCATAAGTTATTGTGCTTTCAAAACCACATTGCATGTGAAATGTTCTTCCAACCACACATAAAACTAACAACTACTTCATTATTCAGCCGAGTGCTATGGGACAGCTGATCTGAGGAGAGGAGAGAAGTGAACACCCTGGTTTAGTGATGGGCTTCTCTCTGGGGCAGAGAAGGGGACACAGGGAGAATCCCAGTGATGGAAGTCAGAAAGAAAGAATGAAACAAGAGGTAGTGTTTGAGCATGTCTGAGGACAGTGGTGAGGAATATGTCAGAGTTCTTACCTTTTCTTTGTCACTAGCTTTTCTAGCCACTGTTGAGTCCTGAAACACAAAGAAACAATTGAAACTTGCACATGAGAGACATTGGTGTCATGTTTAAGATACGCAAATATTCCAGGGCAGAGTGCAGCAGTAAATGAGCACCAACTCTGTTTGAGCCTCATCCTGAGTGAGCTGTGTCCCCTCTCTGGTCACTACTCTCAGCCTGGTATGCTCCTCCCTACATAGGATTCCTGTCCACTCTGCCCCAACCTTTCCCTATCATGCCACCTGTGCTGCCTTTCCCCTGGGTCTTGTCCTCATACTGGAAGCCAGAAAACCTGACAACCACCGGACCAGTAACCTACTAAACACTGAATCAAAACCACGCTCTCATTGCATCACTTGCCAGAAATGGTTGGTGCCATGATCTTCCAAGGTGCAGCAGGCCATCAGCTGGCCACAGTGACCATTAAATGCCTCTTGTCCTAAATTATGTCTTCCAGGATGGGCACGTCCTCGCCCCCGTTTTAGAGTTACTGATGAATATCTTCTCACTCACTGTAAGACCCCTGTGGGCACTTTCTGTTCCCCTTCTCTTTGAAGATCCCTTCAAACACACACATTTACTTGCACCCCTTTTGGGCCAGGCCCTAAGCTGAGGACAGAGGCGTAAAGTGGAAGAAAACACAGTACTTTATCTCAGCAAATTCTCTGCTACTGCTCTGGTTTTCACAACTATGCCTCAGGGCTGTGGGGTTGTTCAAGGCCTCACGACAGGGGGGCTTTTGGGTAGAGTTCAAGCAGAGATATTTTCCTTTGTTTGTGGAGGATTTAAAAGCAAAAGAAAAGTTGGGAAGCAAATGGCCAGTGAATTTCTAACCATGTCAATACAGCAAGGACTATTTATTCTTTGTGCTGCTCTATGACCACCATGGTGCTGCTTCTCACAGCACTGCTGGGCGTTCTCTGGATAAATGGCTGGAGGTCACACACCGATTTACTGCTCTCCCTTCCTCTCCAGACACCCAAACTACGATAAGGTCAGTGGAGCAATTCGGTTACCTGACCACCTCTTAAATAGACATTTATTGCCCTGTAATACTTGCAATAGCCAATCATTAAGAGAACTTACACCTAACTTGGGATGAGTTAAAGTAGGTTCTAAATTGGCCATTCTCAAAGAAATAAAAATTTTTTCTCTATGACCATCTTTTATTCAAGCGGCCCAGGCACTGATTAGGATGTGTGTGACATATAATTCCCACATGAGGAGAGAAGGCTGAGGAGACTCCTTGTATTGGAGAAAGGAACCAAGACCAGGCTGGAGTCTCAGTATTCCCCTGCTGCCAACCCAGGGAAAATTCTGGAAGTTTCTTGGGGATGTGTCAGAGGAGCACAAAGCTGACTCAGCAAATAAAGATGGACGATGTGACTTGTTCATGAAGGAAACCACAGCCACAGCACACAGCCGTCCACATAGCCATCACTTGCAATGGTCTCTATTCCTTCCCTTAGGGATTCTAGAATACGGCCACAAATACCTTCCTGTGTGCACCGATTTCTAACAAAGAATGTTCCAAATGAAAAAAACTTGGGGACATCTGTAACACTTGAGCATTGCCTATGCTACTGGGCAGAGGAAGAAACAATTTATTCCTCTTTGTTTCTTTCACCAACGTTGTGGTCTGTGTATGTGTTTTTTCCTATATTATAATTCACCCTGTTTCAGATTCTCAGTGAAGCTTCATCTCCATGTAAATGCAGATCATTAGCCTGGAAAAAAAAAACCTCGTCCAAGTTTAAATTAATTCAGGATAAAAAATTAAAACCAAAATAGAAAAGTAAGGTTAGTAAGTTAAGGCCGAGAGTTTGAGCCATGAAATGATGCCAGGTGTTCAGGTTCCATCACAACTGAAAGTATTGGCAAGCACAGAATTTATTTAATCTACAAGTTAACTAAAAAGGGAAATGAAATGATAAAGTCCAAGGTAAATTAAAACTATAATATCCAGTCTATAAGTATACCTTATATCACTCATAGAATGGATGAGACAACAAAAATCCATTGACCAATTCCCATACGCTAAGCATTATGCCAGACATGATATGTACATATCTCATTTAATCCTCACAACAACCCAGCAAAATTAATTAAAATTATTCCTATTTTACAGGTGAAGAAACTGAGCCTTATAAAAGTTCAACAGCTTGCACACAGGTAACAAATGATAAACTGGGCTTCAGGGGTCGCTCTGGCTTCAGACCACTCTGGGAGAGGCGGCCCAGTGAACAGAATCCTATAATACTCACCAGAGTACAATAAGTAGCACTTCAAAGACTTCATGAGAGAGATGGTGCCAAAGAGCCCTGTCGGGTGTCTGGGATTCCTCCAGGGGCAATTCCAGGGAACAAAATATTGGTCTGTTGGAAAAGTCATGACGTAGTTTTTCTATGTTTTTCGTTGCAAAAATGCGTCATGACTTTTCCAACAACCCAATAGTTACAACGTGGAAGCAGGACAGAGCAAGGCTGTATCTGGGAAGCTTGTACAGTTTATCTGCACTCCAGAAGTTAGGAGATAAGCCTAGATCATTTTTTTTTTAAAGATTTTTTTTTAATTGGGGTTGGCACCATCATTGCGCTCTTCCCGGGTGAGGCAGATCAGTCGCCGGCTTCTGGACGGCCGCTCACTGCGGCTGCTGGCCGCTCACTGAAGCTGCTGGCCGCTCACTGCAGCTGCTGGCCGCTGGCTACACACGGTAGCGCATGGCAACCCACTGCCACAGGGGCTGCAGCCTATGCCGTGGCCGGCGACTCACAGCAGCCCAGCTCCAGGTTGAGCTGTTGTTCAGCATCTTAGCTGTGGAGGGCAGTGTCACTGGCCCTCATATGTGGGNGGGCTTTTGGGTAGAGTTCAAGCAGAGATATTTTCCTTTGTTTGTGGAGGATTTAAAAGCAAAAGAAAAGTTGGGAAGCAAATGGCCAGTGAATTCCTAACCATGTCAATACAGCAAGGACTATTTATTCTTTGTGCTGCTCTATGACCACCGTGGTGCTGCTTCTCACAGCACTGCTGGGCATTCTCTGGATAAATGGCTGGAGGAGGTCACACACCGATTTACTGCTCTCCCTTCCTCTCCAGACACCCAAACTACGATAATGTCAGTGGAGCAATTTGGTTACCTGACCACCTCTTAAATAGACATTTATTGCCCTGTAATACTTACAATAGCCAATCATTAAGAGAACTTACACTGCCCTGTCGGGTGGCTGGGATTTCCACCAGGGGCAATTCCAGGTAACAAAATAGTTACTACATCGAGGCAGAACAGAGCAAGGCTGTATCTGGGAAGCTTGTACAGTTTATATGCACTCCAGAAGTTAGGAGATAAGCCTAGTTCATTTTCTCTCCCTTAGATTAGCATTTCTCAAAGTGTGGTTCAGCACTCAGGGGTCTGCAAAGTCAAACTATCTTTATAATAATACTGAGACATTATTTGCCTTGTCACTGTCTTGATATTGCATAGATATTGTAAAAACAATGGGTGTTCAACTGCTGGTAGCTTAGAAAAAATTCAGCAGTGGCACCAAATGGTACTAGTAGTTATATCTATATCTGTATATCTATCTGTCTATCTATCTATCTATCTATCTATCTATCTATCTATCTATCTATCTATCATTTATCTATATAAATATACAAATGTTCTTGATGAAGCAATGAAATTCTTTTTTATTAAATTTTGACCATGGAGTCCCCATCTTTTCAAAATTTTGTGTGGGAAGTATGCATAAAGCTCTTCTGTTTATAAAGAATGAAAGGTTTAAGAACAGTCATTTTTGTGATGGTTTGAGTTATGAGCTGAACCAGCCGCTTTTTTCATGAAACAACATTTTTAGTTGAAAGAACAACTGACAATCTGTATTTATGCAGATCTAGGCATTTGTCAGATATTTGCTCAAAGATGAACAATGCTGCTGGGCTCAGCTATGAGCAGGGGGCTGTGTGATGTCACGTCACAGAAACCAACTAATAGGACTTGTTGCCAGTGGTAAAATTTGAGCTTTTATGTAAAAATTAGAATTTTTAAAAACTTGTATCCACCATCCTGAGCTTGAGAGCTTCTCAACACTTAAAGACTTTTCTGATGAGACTGATGGTGATATTAATGTGACTTCTTGATATTATATAGTAAAATGTGTCAGTATTTGGAAGAGCACATAACTCAGTAAACCCATTCATTCCAAATGACCAAAGCATGGTACATTCAGATCAATGCATGCAAACAGACCAATGGATTTTAATGCAAGAGTACAAAGGTTCACTGATGTGATTTCAGATTGCACATTCCACATAAGCTTTGAGAAATTACCCTCTGTCGAGGTTTTGGTATAATATGAAAGAAGAATATCCACAAATTCCTGAAAAATTATAAAAACACCCACACCCCCTTTTCCAGATCTATATTTGCATAAGGTCTGAATTCTTCATACACTACAATCAAATAACATCACAGCAGACTGACAACAAAACCAGACAGGACATTTAACTATCTTATATTAAGTCAGACATTAAAGAAATTTGCAGGCCGGCCAAGTGGCACATTGGTTAAGAGCTGGTTCGGGACGCCAGCTCTGAGCAGCAGGGCTCCAGTTTGAATCCCACATGGGGGCCAGTGACACTGCCTTCTACAGCTAAGATGGTGAACATCAGCTCGACCTAGAGCTGGGCTGCCGTGCGTCACTGGCGATGGTGTAGGCTGCAGCCCCTGCTGCAGTGGGCTGCCATAAACTACTGTGCATGGCTGGCAGCTGGCGTGAGCTGCCAAGAGCTGCAGTGAGCAGCCATCCAGAGGCTGGTGACCGATCTGCCTCATCCGTGAAGAGCGCAATGATAATACCAACATGGGCCAGTGAAGCAACGTCCTCCACAACTAGACTGAAGAACAAAACGATAGCAACTTGTCTGTTCCCCTTCCCTGATTCCCCAGCACTGTTCCCCTCTCCCAATTCCCCAATAAAATCTTTAAAAAAAAGAGAGATTTGCAAAAATGTAAAACAATGCCACCTATCTCACTAACTTTTGGGATTTGGAAGACTCAGTTATTTTTCATAAAAATATGCTAACATGTAATGGTTTTATTATTTTAAATAAAGCATTCTAAAATTTCTCTTATTAATTCCTAACACTGCAAATATCAGTAGTCTTAACCTCCATAAGCAAGAGCTTTTCTCTTTTATGAATGTGAAAGATTCTGAGATCAAAAAATTTGATATCCACTGATAAAGACCAAAGCTTGGCAAATTTTTTCTGAAAAAGGACAGAGGATAAATGTTTTAGGCTTTGTGTCTTGAAATGGTCTCAGCGGTAACTACTCGACTCTACACAAGCAATCACACATGATGTAGAAACAATGGGCATGGCAGTATTCCAATAAAACTTTATATACAAAATGGCCAAGCTGGATTCACCATGTAGGCAGGTCATATTTTGCCAAGTCCTAACCTGGACGTTCTCCCTCTAAGTCAGTGATCCTAGAAGTCAGATCAGCTCATCTACTCAGAAATTCCAGCGGTCCCACCTTTCATCAATGTCTTTGAAACAGCCTTTCTCAGGGTCTGTTGCCTCTGCCAGAAATGTTTTCCTTCACCTCCTTCAGATCTGCTCCTCTGTCATCTATCTTCTCAGTGAAACCTCCGCTGACACCCTGTTAAAACTGTATCCCTTCCCTATCTTTACTTCTATCCATAGCACTCACTGATCACTTCCTAACATCCTATATGATTTACTTACTACTTTCACTTTACCCACCAGAAAGTCAGCTCCTTGAGATTAGGTTTGGTCTGTTTAGTTCATCACGCTATTCTCAGCACCTAAAAGAGTGCCTGGTACGGAGTTGGTGTTCAATAAATATTTGTTCAATAAATTAGACACTATGTCTCTAATACGTACAAGCATCTTCTGGAAAATCCAGCGAGTGATCCTTGCTTAGTTAACACAAGGAGTGCACTGCAAGTTGCCTGGTGGCTTTGAGCTCTGAGCACCAACTAAGTGTTTAGCACGTTCATTTACAACATTTACAATGTGCACAAGTAAGCTTAATTACTTAAGAAAAGTTAATAAAGTCAATCTTACCTTTAAGTCGTACTTCCTATATACAGATAAATGGTGGCTGAACACATTCCTTGTAACAATCACATATATTTCAACTCCATCAACATTAAGGCGGTACATGCCCAAGAATTGGGGAAGAAGGGTGATCCCATGACATTCCACTATATACTGCACAGGAGAGAAACAGGAAAAATATTATAGAAACAAAGTGTGCTCGTTCTGATGTAAAATATAACTCTTCTGCCTATGCTATTTACACAGAGCGAAACCCTCCAACCATTAAAGTCCTATTTACAGAAAATGACCACGTTTGTACTGCTTAACACAGGATCTGTGTTCACCATGTATACACAGATAAGAAAATACAACTTTATCTCCAAAAAGATATTTTTGCCCTACATTCCAAACTAACTGGTAAAGACAAAACTTGGATATAAATAACAGCGTAAAGAGAGAAGACCAGTGATTGGTCCTTTCCATAATTTCTTTAAAGTGAAATTACACTCCACCTGGGGTCTCCATCTTTCCCCCCAGAAGATGTAATGATGATTTTATAAGGTTCACAAAGAGTCATTCAGCCACTAAGATTAGCTCCTTTCATATTGAGGGTCACAGAGCATCATGGAACAGAGTGGATACTAACCACTATCCGCGTTGATGAATATGTTAAAGAAACCTTCCGAAGTTGAGACTAAAGAACAAATTGTGGAGAAAGCCCAATGTTAGAAGCTGGGAGGGTTGGGCCCTAGTCTTAGTTTTTCTGTTTCTCACTGAGACTGTACTGTCTGGAGCTCAGCTGCCCATCAGAGCAGCAGTATGGAGGGCGGTCTCCTCGCCACCATGGAGAGCACACTCCTGCTCTCCACACAGACGGAGCTTCTCTGACTCCATGTTGGACTTCATCAGGGCCGTAGGTCGCGTCCCAGCTTGGACACCATTTCCAAGTAGAGTTGCAAAAACACAACATGAGTTCCAGTCTTTCATGACCATACTCTAAAAGACCACAAGATGGAGACACTTTTCCTCGCTAGCCAATCTTTATAACCAGGTCCCACTGCACTTTCCAAAGGAAAGTTAGTTTTTCTTTCTTTTAAAAGGAAGGGGAAAGAAGATTTCAGAACAGCTCTTTTATGTCCATGATATGTATGTGAAATCTCCAGGATGATAAACAGCATGAATAGTATGATTCCAAAATTGGAAAAATTGTACACACTTATGCATATGTACAGAGAGATGCCTTGAAAGAACAGTCACCAAATGGTAATGGTGGAATTTTCAGTAACTTTGTTTTCATCCTTTTAAAAATTATCCTACGGCTTGAATTTTTCTGTATTTCAATGAGCATTTTATAAAAATAAGAACGTTTGCTCTTCCAAACTTTTTGGTGGTAAATACCATCAGTGATTGAAATCTGATACTATATAATAATCTTAAGAGGTTATTTTTTCTAAGCCTTTAGTTTGTATTCTGAAAGGAAAGGTGAACAGATTCACTGTGGGTGTGAGTTTTGCTACCCAGCGTTTTGGCTCTTAGATGCTCCTGCCCTGTTCCCTCCCCCTTTTAATCTTACTATAATGGAGCTACATATTTTAATTTGATATATTTTCTGAGTTTCACCTCAGCATGTTCTTAACTTGAAGTCGGATCAGCAGAACATTTTCTGTTTCTCTCTCTTCAAAAAATAGCTGAGTCTTGCTAATGCTAACCAGGTGTTCAAGACCCCTGGGTTGAAGGAAAAACCTCCCAAAGAACAAAAAGGGGGTTGTTGTCCCTCGCCTCTGAAGAAAGATGGTTGGATGGGCCTTAGAACTGTGGAGACTATGGGACTGTACATTTTGTAATAAGCACAGTAGAAAGAATGGAGGTTTGTGAGTCACAGACATGCGCATATGCCTCCTGGCGCCTCCCTTTACCAGCTGTGGGATCTTGGGCAAATTATGAAATCACTTATCATTTTAGTTTCATTTTCTGGAAAGTGAGCACCATAATTCCTAACTCGAAGGTTATTGTGAGGATTACAGATAACAATATGTCAAAATACTTCACACAATGCCCATGTACTCTGCTGTACTCTTCCTCCTACTATAGATGACAAAGATAATAATAATAATTTTCATTCAAAAGTCTGATAAGAAACTTTAACGTTATACCTATCTGCTGCTTTATGCTCTAAATTGATTCACAGACAGCTACTGGCATCTACTCTGAGGAAGGCATAGAGTAGGTATTTGGGGAGACCACTGGGGGACACACACCAGTTTCAGCTTGGCTGCTGAACCCCCCTTTGTGCTCTTTTGCTCAGATTATTCTCATCATGGCCTATCTTTTAAAAGTCCTGACAATAGAAGGTGTCTCTGATCACAATCTCTGTACAGAGCTACAGAGCACCATGGAAAAAAAGTGGATAAAACTATTACTCACATTGATAAATATTTTAAAGAAACCTCTGAATGTTATACAGGAAGTCATTACAAGCCTTTTATTCCCTCCCCCACCCCAGGGGAAAACACACATACAGATTACATTCCACGACTCCTCCATATTTAAGACTAGATAAATTACTACATATAAAAAATAGATCAAATGTGATCTACTTAATCATTGCTCACTTATGAGTCCCTTTGATGAACAGCTTGAGAAAATATTAATATATTTAATAGACTTAAAACTCCTGCATCTATAACTATGTACAAAACCATAAACTATATTAAAACCTTTCACGTTATTAATAGATTTCAGTAGTGCCAAGCAACAATTGGTGGCAAAAGTTTAGAAGGCTTTTGTGGGTCAAAACTTTGCAGAAGAGGAAATTCTATCCATTAATTGACTTTCTGGGTGGGGGCATTGGGAAAAGAACATACTGTTTCGTTTTAGTGGAACATTTCAGAGGTCTGTGAAGACCAGGGTTGGGGTCCACTGTACTCTAGCACGATATGTCCCTGGATGCACATGTTGACAAATGGAAGCCTGAATGTTAATCCTCTCAGATTCTTTACCAGTTGCCCCAGGAAACGCTGTGCACAAACTCTAACCCCATCGGGCACATCTATAAGGATGCCTAAACACACAATCCACTACAGGTAATCCCACAACCAGGGAGATTGTCAATTCATGGCCACAGCTTTAGCTGGGTTTCGACATGACTCAGCCACATCACGATTTGAGGAGCCCTCTTGATCCAGCTTCACATTCACTAGCTGTGTGACCTTGGGTGAATTATTCAAACTCTCTGTGTCTCTACATTTGGAGAAGAGGAGTAATAATAGAGCTTGGTGTCTAGGGTTTTTGTAAAGAATGTGAAGAGCAGGGAAATGAGACTGGGGGGGACTGCCAATGACTCAAGCAGGAATAAGATGAAACCAAGACTCTGGGGCAAAGGGTGGAAAAGGAAGGAAGTGGTGAGGGAGGAAGATGTCCAGGAGCACCTGATGTGTTCCTAAAATGTTCCCTGAGTCATGGATTCGACTTTAAGTGCATGATGGAAGTCCCAATTTCATGGAATCTCATAAAACAAAGACTTTCCAAACATGAATAATGTTGCATATGTGGGTGCATGTATTTGTTTATGAACTGAGGTAATCTTCTTATAAATTAAAAAAAAACATTAAAAATTATATTTCTCCCTCTTGTTGCTTTTAGAATCAGAACTCTGAGTGCTTTCCCTTCAAGAACTTAAACATTGTTAACAAATCAACAAAATAACTTGTAAAAAATGCTTGAAAGATAATAAGAAAAAGGGGGTATTGGGAACACTACGATATCATGTCTTTCTTGATTATCAATTACTTGGCACAAGCACCCTCTTTTTTTGAATAGGTGAAAGCATCCTCAGCATCTGTTAATTTCTTTTTAACACCATTGATTTGATCACAAGACAATCTAAGGACTCTTTGCTTCCTCCCTTCTGCATGCTCAACGTCCAGATTATAAGAATGGAGAGACAATGATTTAATCCTGAGGGCCCCTCTTTAAGAAAGGTATACATATTTATTTCACTTTCAACCACTGTCTTGAGGTGGCTACAAGGCAGTCCTTCCCCACTGGCAAGGGACATAATCAACACAGGTGGTGTCCCTAGCTGCTGTATTAATATCTCAGTTTACAGACACGACAGGTGCAGTGCCCGAGTGCGTCCTGGTAGACTCCTTTCTAGAAGTCTGTGGACTTCTGTCCTCTGCCACTCTGAGGTCCCGGGCAAGAGACGGCCACAAGTGGACCAAACTCTACGCTGGTCATCTGTATGCGGCTCAGATTAAAAGCATGCATCAGGCAAGAGAGATGGTTCTTGGTGTCCATATTCTCAGTGCTAAACTCACTGCATTACCTGTAGTTTTATCTTAAAATATTGTTTTTATTACTTTTCATTTTTGCATTTTCATAGCTGGACACCTTATGTCATCTAGCCTTCTTATTTATCAGACAATGGCATCTGTTTTTTAAGACTGCTCTCAGAAACTGATACTGGCTGGCAATGTTTATCTGTAATCTGTGTTTCCAACACGAACAATTTTTACTTTCTTCTGTCTCCTTTGAAAAAATCGACGTGTAAATGATTCTATGGTGTCATCAATAAAGGCAAATTTAATCTCTCCATGTCTCCCTTAGACCTTTTCCCTGTATAACCATGGGCTTGTTTGAAGTGTAATGCAATGATCAATTGATGTGGTGAAATCAGGATTTTAAAATCATAAAATGCAACAGCTACAAAATCTCAGCTTCCTTTGCTCTCAGGCACTCAACAAGAATAACAAGCATTGTGAATCCCCAATTTGTTGCTCTTCTCATGCAAAATGAAATGCCAGTAAAAGATTCACAGCTGACTGAAGGTTTCCCCTGAGAGGAGTCTAAGTGATGCACTGCAACAGATAAATATTTATATCTCCATGTGGTCATGTGAACCTGGGCTCTGGCTTTGGAAATTGCTGTTATTATCATGTTTCACTCATTTTCATCTTAGAGATTTAAAGTGACAATATAGCATTAAATTAATATGTCAATGTAACGTCTTGTTTCAGTTAAATGTTTTTGAAAGGTTAAATTATCTGTAATCCTTATTGTGACTCTGGCTATGTTTATAGGTCACCCCAGCAACATATTTTACATGGAAGGAAGGAAGGTAGGAAGGAAGGAATGAAGGAAGGAAGGAAGGAAGGAAGTCAACCAGTTTG